CCAAAGCTGAGGAGGCGCGTCGGTCCCTGCTGGGTGAGGGAGGAAAGGTGGAGGTGCGCCTGCTGGACCTTTCCAGCCTACAGTCCGTCAGGGACTTCGCTGCTGGACTTGTCAAGGATAACATCAAAGTCCACATCCTCATCAACAACGCAGGTTGTTGATCACTTTAGTCATGATATTTAAGGACATAGTCTCAGCGATAACATTGGCGCGTTGATTGGCTATAGACGTGCATATAGCTTAGGGAGTCTACGTATGTTAACTGGTATGAGTGTTGGCTGCAATAATGTTGTGATGGCATGAACAATGAATGCAGTAATTATATGTTGAATGTCACAGGGGTGTTTATGTGTCCGTACATGGAGACGCAGGAGGGCTTCGAGATGCAGATGGGCACAAACCACCTGGGCCACTTCCTGCTCACGAACCTCCTCCTGCCGCAGATGAAGCAGCACGGCGAGCCCGCCAGGATCATCAACGTGTCGTCTACCGCTTGTCTCGGTGAGGTTGGTTCTTTGGAAGGTACTCGTGCGAGGCTAGCTTGGACTGAGCCATCAGAGTTTGGAGAGCCATCAGAGATTTTCTAGCAATATTTTTATTATTTGTGACTGACATTCTGCCCTAGAAATTTCGAATGGTGGCGTAACTAGAATTAAATTAAAAGGCTATAATTATTTAGCGGTATTATCAAAGAAAAGTGCTTGGTGATGAACTTAATAGGTTGACTCGTGTAGCACGGCGTAAGAGGTGGTATTGGGAAAAGCAGAGCCAGGAATTAGAAATTTGCAAAAGATGTGCGTGAAACCTTTCAAACTGAGTGTAGTCTGTTTTTGTGTTAGTATATTCCGTAACTTCAATATTTTAGCTAAAACATTGCTGTTTCCGCCTCCAAAGTTGATGTAAAATTATAGCAGCGCCAATTCCTTGGACATGTCTGTTCAACTGTCATATGCTACTTATCCATGCAAACACCGGCAATTTGTGCCGACTTCATTCGTTGTTATACTAACTGCAATTTTGTATTAATCAACTTGATGGGCAAAGTTAATCCTATTGTACAGTTGAAATGCCAATGGGAAATAAGTATACCGGGATATACTGAGAAAATTATTAGCAACAGTGCTTATGCATTGCAGACTAGATCTCCGGGATTTGCATCACATTATCAACCCGGCAGAACGTGCCGAAGTAGCACTATCGAGACAATAGCTTAACACAACACCGGAGCTTGACGGAACTGAACTAACTTCCCGCACTTAGTGATCTTTAAAGCATTTTTCAAGAAACACGTCATATGGCGTTACCGTCAGCTCACAAAGGGAGTGAGAAAACCAATGACTCGAAAGTCTCGATAATATCTCGACCTGACACAACGAAGCTCAGTAAAACTTGACGCATTTTTGTAACAGGGGGTAAGATCGACTTGGATGACTTGTTCCAAAAGAAGAAGCCATACGACGCCCTGCAGAGCTACAGCAACAGCAAACTCGCAAACGTCCTCTTCACCAGACGCCTCGCGCACCTCCTCAGAGGTCGGGACTTTCTTCTTCAGCGGCCATTTTATGTAACCTGGACATGTTTTCTGCACCAAATGTTTCTTAAAATTTATTCATTCATTCACCTAAAAGTTCTTTATAATTGTTTCTACAACTTCATATTTTATTGTTATATCAATGAAATTAATTCATTTCGATCAATAGTTTGTCAAAGTGACAAAAATCAATATAATCCATTTTTATGTTTCACCATGCGTATGCTGCCTTAAGCAACGGATGCTGTACAATATCAATCTTGTGTAAGCAACCTCTTGTTCGAGTGTCTCAGTTTCTGTTGTTTTTCACCTGTCCCTTCTTGTCACTTCGTCTCTCTTTGAGATGCTGACGCTGCTTCTTTCGAGCCAACTGCAGCGGGCTGGACAATTGAGATTTTCCGCTCGTTATGGGTGATGATTGATTTGAGATTTGAATTATTGAGACTTTCCACCTTACTGGCGATGTCATCTTTTGACCTCCGGTGCGAAATAGCTTCATAGCTGAAGCGCTAGCAAACCATTATACTACCACTACTCTTTGCTGGTTGGCCAAAAACGCCCTACAACCGTGGCTGACGCGTGCTCTTTGAACTCAAGAAGATGAATACGATCTTAATCTCATCCCCTAAATTTCATTTGAATCTCATTCCCTTTTCTCTCATTTCTTGCATGATCTTCATTGGTTTTGTGCAGGCACGAAGATCCAGGTGTTCGCTCTACACCCCGGCAGCGTGGTCAGCTCAGCCACGCGCCACGTGATGTCTTCGACGTTCTTTAAAGACTACGTCATTAGTTTGGCGCTCAAGACGACGCTGGAGGGCGCACAGACTACCGTCTACTGTGCTACTGAAGCCCAGCAGCACAGCGAGATGTACTTCAGGTAGTGATGATGACATTGGATTACACCAGTAAATATCTCTTTATTTCAACATGATGAACTAACCCTGGCGCTCCAACAAAGCGACGCGTTCCTTTGTCTTACCCTTGGCATTTTCCATCACGGTCCATGAAATAAGAGGGACCTCTGCTCTAGGAAACCACTAGATATTTCTTTAGACTATAGTATTTGTGCTTGGTATTACTGGTATTGATCCACTCTAAATTCTCAGAAACTTTAGTCAGCTGAATGACATTTTTAAAGAAATTTTGTCACCCGCGAGTTAACTAAATTCGTTACTGGATGATTTCAAGAAAGAATTCATTTGATATTTTATTTGAAATATTTTCTGTTACGGCAAGCCTATGAAATTGGTATTTTACCAGAAGAATTTCAATAAAGCGAAATATTATTCATAAGCTAAGGCTGACGTCAAATTTTATGCACAGTTTGGAACAGGCTGTTAAATTAAAAGTAAGACTTAATTAATATTTTCATTGGAGAAGATGATCGGTGATCCTGGAAAAAAAAATTTGTTTTACTATTTGACGTTCGCCAACAAGCAAACACAAACGTTTGTCCAACCAATCAAGATATTTTTCTAATATATGGCAGAATGTTTCCTACGAAATATGTCGTAGAAACGTATTTTATAGCTGTAATTTTCTTACAAATTCGACTCGTTTGGTTACAACAGCGACTGTGCCGTGGGCTGGGCGCCGGACGCCTCCAAGGACGAGCGACTGGCCGAGGACTTGTGGAAGCTGTCAGCCCAGCTCGTCAAGCTGGACGAGTGACTTGAGAAGTGAAGGAACGACGTCTTGCTTACCGAGTGACCGACAATAGCCCCAAATTGTTTATGAACGTCCATGCTCTTTGGATAACTAGTTTCTGGAGCGTGCCAATTGCCAACGTTAATCCACTGACGGAGGCACTTGTGTCAAACGGAACAACGGCTTTCGCGCTTGTGTCAAACGTCGCTGTTGATTTTACACTGCAGGCGATGAAGTCGAATACTGTATTTTGATATAAATTAATGTTTTCTCACAAGGAAGTTTGAAATGATTTGTACATTCTAAATAAATGCATAAAAATTAGTAAATATTTCCGTCCTTCCTGGTTTACTGAAACTATGTGTCTGCGAAATGCCACCAGCTTTTCAAACTCAAACCATCACTCATTTTGCTACTTACAATAATTAACAATTCAGCCAGCAACGCCGCGTGGCGCTGAATGTTTGACATCGAGTGCGCAAAATACTATCGCAAAAATTCATTTCTGTTGACCAATTATCATGAGGATTATATCATTATGATTAGCCGAAGCGTTCTCACTAGGCATGTGGAAACTGAATCAGTCAAGTGGTGAACCGCTCGCGGTAGAGTAGGGGCTTTCTGCCTGGGAACTGCTGTCACACAGTGCGACCAACACTGCGCATCATGATCTAGGAAATAAAATAAGATACGCAAGAAAATTGAAAATTTTTTAGTGAAATTGTGTTAGAATTATGAGCTTACCATTTAATATTACACCCAGGATAGGATTTGCTAGTGTTCCTAGCAATGATAAAACGAAGACAACGAATGTTGCAGAGTTGCAGGACGCAGGGTCGCAGGACGCAGGTTCCTGTTCATTTAGTATCACTCTGAACGTTACAAGGTTAGGTTGTGAGACATGCAGCTTGAGCTAGCTCTTCATCACGTCTGTCACAAGTGAAAAATTTGCAGTTGTCGAGCTAAGTAGTGTGTGTGTGTAGCATCAGCTGAGCTTGGTTTCAACAGGTAACTGACATAAAAATGACTACTACAATGAAAGTTAGGAAGAACTGAATGTTCGATAACTTGCCATTTACCAAGAGATCATACGCCGCCGAGTTCATTCTTGTCAGCCTCATGATTTAACGACTAAGTCGAGTACGGTATTTGGTAAGTAATTAGGTAAGGTGCTTGCTTATACACGGGTGACGGGCCAGTATTTGCTCCGAGTATTCGGCGCGAGTACTCGCATTCCGAAATCCGAATATTGTGATGATTTATTCTTCGGATGCGAGTAGCTGATGCATTGGCTCCCGAAGCAGTTCAAGTTATGTTCGGTTTACTTAGCTAGTCGGGCTGCGGTGTCGCTCAGTATCCCGATTGGGACGCTCTTTATCCTAGTCTAATATTATGAACTGTGTCAGTCCCAACGACGACGGCTCTAAGAACGTCACGAGGTGTAAAGACGACATTGAACTTTTCTTACAGATATGCCTAAAGTACGATGTACTTTGGATTTGGAATGTAGGGCACGATAAATATTACTACAAAAAAATTAATTGAGAAAGTAGTGTTTGACAGTTAAACAAGACCTTATTAGTTCTCTCACCCACACTCAACGCTGATCTACAAAGTTTTTCACCTCCTCAGCAAGAGTGGCAAGTGGCAACTAGGCTACGCCACCAACTGCTTTCTCTAAAACCGTCATTGTCGTTAAAGGCCGGTCCACACGCTCAGTTTTCACAACGATTTGTCTGCGCAGTTTCAAGTCGGAATGAAATCGTTGCAATTTTTAGAGCGTCCACACGGTGCCGACTTATCTGAGTAGTTTGCTCAGTTTTGCGCGATCTCGCCATGGAGACGTCTCGGACAAATTTTACGACCGGTCTCCCCAAATTCGATGAACATGGAATATCTCTCAAAGTAATGAACGTAGCTCGATAAAACATGGTACACGTATTCATTAGGACTTAACGGTGATGTTTAGCTCGTGAACATTTTTAGAATTTCACCTTCATTGGTGAGTTATATGACGATACGTGCCGAAATTTGCAGTGAGCATGACATTTCTTCTTAACTACTGTACAGATGTGAACGAAACTTTGAATATCGAAACCTAATCTCCCAACGGCGATGTTTAGCTCGTGACAATTTTTTACATTAGATAAAGCCTTATAACTCGCAAACGAAGGCAAAATCGAAAATAATTGTCACGTGCTAAACATCACCGTTAAGTCCTAATGAATACATGTACCAAGTTTTATCGAGCTACGTTCATTACTCTGGGAGATATTCCATGCTCACTGAATTTGGGGAGACCGGCCGCGAGTCCGGCCGTATATTTGTCCGAGACGTGCCATGGAGAAGGCAGTACTTTGATCAATTTTGGCATTGTGCCTTGTAAAAACAGAGATTGGATCATTTAGGGAATGCGAGGAATCAAAATACAAGAGAGATGGCTTGAAGATGTCTTCTTTCCATGTCCAGATGGAATCGAGTTTTTTATTCATTCCCAATTATTTACGGCAAATGCTCCTCAACTCATTTTACAGCTGTTTCTCTGTTTGCGCTTTCATCGATTTCTTTGAATTTTTCTACTAAGCCCTCGTATGTCTCCACTTTTTTTGTCTGTTACTATAGTCCTTGAATTTTACTCGCCAAATGCAAGAAAAATTTTCGTATAGAAGAGCAATAAATTCCCGAGAACATTACTGAAGGTCCGCCAATGTCGCCAGACGAGTTGCAACTGGGCATAAATCGAATCGAGAAACTGTGCACCGTCCACACGTTCCGACTTGTCTGCGCAGTTCATCGGAATCTATGCTCTGGAGCTCAGATTTCGATGGAACTGCGCAGTTTTCCCGTCCACACGCAACGTTTTATCTGCAACGATTAGAACTGCGCAGACAAATCGTTGTGTAAAACTGAGCGTGTGGACCGGCCTTTACGTTCCATATTACCCAGACATCACTCGACAGCTTCCAACGCCGCACTGGTGCCTCCGGACTGTAAACTGTTAACCAAATACCCTACCTCCTCGTGTATAGGCGCTCAGCCGGCAAAACTGGACTCGCCGCGAATACTGGGAGCGAATACTAGCGCCGTGTATGAGCAATCTCAGTTCTTAAACAATAAAGCTATCTCAGTTCTTAAGAATCTCAGTTCTTAAGAATCTCAGTTCTTAAGAATCTCAGTTCTTAAATAAAAACAACAAATCATGACCAATTATTTAAGCAAATGGACGGCCGGCAGAGAGAAGGATGGTGCACGGCGTCAGTTGTGTGTGGATCCAACTGGCGTGAGTTATGCGCTGCGTTTCGTTGAACGACTGCTCAAACTGTTGCTCTTCTATCTATCATTAAACGCCATAGTTGAGTACCCAGAGATGGACAAAGGAAGATAAGAACCATATGTTCATTTATTCGTAAGAACCATATGTTCAGTTATTCATAATTTTTTTATTAGAAACATTGCTCACAAAGATTTGAAATTTGCACAAAGCCTCTCTGCTCAACTGAATGGAAACTGTCGTTAAGGCGCCCCACCCATTGAGAGCCTTGTCTGTTGAGACCTTTGAAATTTGTGAGCTGTGAGTAATATATTAGGTACTATTCTCCCCGAAACTGAGGAACACATAGACCTTACCTGTTGTAGACCTTACCTGCTACAGGCCTTTTACCTGCAACAGACATACCTGGATTACCTGCTACAGATCTTTTACCTGCTACAGACCTTTTACCTGCTACAGACCTTTTACCTGCTACAGACCTTTTACCTGCTACAGACATTTTACCTGCTACAGACATTTTACCTGCTACAGACCTTTTTACCTGCTACAGATCTTTTACCTGCTACAGACCTTTTTACCTGCTACAGATCTTTTACCTGCTACAGACCTTTTACCTGCAACACACCTTTTACCTGCAACAGACATACCTGACTACAGACCTTTTACCTGCTACAGACCTTTTACCTGCTACAGACCTTTTACCTGCTACAGACCTTTTACCTGCTACAGACCTTTTACCTGCTACAGACCTTTTACCTGCAACACACCTTATACTTGCAACAGACATACCTGCTACAGACCTTATACCTGCTACAGACCATATACCTGCTACAGACCTTATACCTGCTACAGACCTTACTTGCTACAGACCTTACCTGCCACAGGCCTTACCTGCTACAGAGCATACCTGCTACAGACTACAGACCTCACCTGCTACAGACCTCACCTGCTACAGACCTCACCTGCTACAGACATTATACCTGCTACAGACCTTATACCTGCTACAGACCTTGTACCTGCTACAGACCTTGTACCTGCTACAGACCTTGTACCTGCTACAGACCTTAGACCTGCTACAGACTTTATACCTGCTACAGACTTTATACCTGCTACAAACCATATACCTGCAACAGACTATATACCTGCAACAGACCTTATACCTGCTACAGACCTTAGACCTGCTACAGACTTTATACCTGCTACAGACTTTATACCTGCTACAGACCATATACCTGCAACAGACTTTATACCTGCTACAGACCTTATACCTGCTTCAGACTTTATACCTGCTACAGACTTTATACCTGCTACAGACCTTATCTGCTACAGACCTTATACCTGCTACAGACTTTATACCTGCTACAGACCTTATACCTGCTACAGACCATATACCTGCAACAGACCTTATACCTGCTACAGACCTTATACCTGCAACAGACCTTGTAGAGGAAATAGATTTATTGATGTATTATATATAAATTTTAAGTAGCAATGTATTAGGTATTATGATTCTTCATTTTCAGTTTTCAATCACCCTAGCCGTGACCTCCAGCAGTTTTGCGTTTTGTCCATCATTGAGTCTAGTGTTCGTGCCGTGTAGGTACGTTAATCCAAAGCTCTGTTATTATATTTGTGATCGTTCAATTTTAGAAAGATTCTTATCTTGTTGTATTTATTATTTGTGCCTGCTGATTTGTTTATTAGATATTCATATTCTCTAGATAGGCATTTCAAGCGTTAATTTTGTTCTATTTCAGGAATGCCTTGATATTCGGACTCGATTATTGAACTTGTGAAACGAATTCAAAGTGATTGAAACGCACGGTTAGGGTTAGGTATGTTAGGTTAGGATAGGTTGTTAGGTTTGTTGTGTTTTGTTTTAATTTATTAATCGCTAATTATATTTACTTTCAACTGTTTATTCATTGAAGAAAATTCTTGGTTTAGAAATAAGCTAATTGAAGAACGATCACGTGCTATGTGTCGAGGAAAGCTTGTTCGTTGAGAGATTGGAAGCTCCCTAGCCTTTTACCTGCTACACGAACAGACCTCACCAGCAGCAGACCTAACCTGCCACTAACCTCCTGTTCACTTCACGTTAGCGCAACCTACGTCATTTTCCTCACTACGTGCATCGACTAATAGTTTCACCCAATACAGTATACACGCTCTTTAGGAGGGTCTTCTGACTAGACCCATTAAACTGATAATTGAATTCAATTTTAACGCACATTTATTCTACTTGAATACGTCACTATAGTCGGCCTTTCAAACTAACAGTTGAATTAAATACTACGAGCACGCTGTTCGTGTACATCAATTGTCGCCGCCAACTGGTCTGTTAAGAACTAACAATTGCAGCTCTAATGCCGATATGATACACGTAATATTTCCGCGTGGACAGGCTGACCAGTTCTATTATATTTCCTGACCTTGCCTACACTCGCTCGTCCGGAGCAGACGCGCCGGTTACAGGGCTTCCCTATTCCTTTCCTACGCTATCAATTTAAGGCGAAAGTAAAATAGTCTCGTTCAAAATAGATCATTAACTCTCTTTGTTAAAATAGTTTGTACACGAAATAAAATAGATTATGCTCGATTTCTATTTAAAAATTGCAGTAGAAGTACAAGTGATCAAGCACGAAAGTTGCTCGTGAATGCAGACGAATCGACGACACGAGTGTCAGCGAGGCAGAGCAGAAATCTTTATGACGACTTAACATTACCTAACTAACAGGTTCCGAAACCCTCAGCTCTGAAACTACACCCGTCATAGAGATAGTGTGACAGGGATTTGGTAGCCGAGAGAAAATAAGTATAAAATCATTGGGTCCTCATTTGGGGGTAAGCTTTCTGTTAGAAGAGGGTTCTTTGTTCTTACCTTTTTAAGGTGAACTAACACAGAGAATCTTTATCCCAACTCACAAGCGCAAGAAAATTAAAATGTTTCGTTCCAGTTATCAAGCATTGAAGGCACCCAACGACTAAATCCAGCCTGCCGTGACAATCATTGCGGATTAAAACCTCAGCAAACAACAAGCAGGCTTAAAAGTCTGAACTAACGCTCCACGACGCCTCAAGCCACCTTCCTCATGGGGGTATACGTACAAACTTGTCAAGTTACAAACGTTGAATAATTAGCACGCAAGGTGGGAGCATCACTCGTGTTTTAGGAAGAAGCATGAAAAGATGAGCACATGTTTAATGAATCACACACCGATTTAATGTTCGGCTAAAAACGTCATGTGCTAATAATGGGGTTAAAAGAATCTTTCCGTAGATCAGTAATTTTCGAAATTTGCTCTAAATCTTATCCAGGACATTTTCGGCGCTGGTATAGCTGAGAAGTTTTTGAATTGGAACAACATAAATTTAAATAACTGTACAAATTGTTTCATAACTCAAACTGTATACCATTGCAGCTTAGTGGTTTAACCGCCGAGATGAGACAAGCTAAACTTGGGTTCGAGCCTTAGGAAGCTCAGTTCATTTCTTGGTGTCTCAGGTATGAGGCGATTGGTAGCTGTTGAGGGTGATGCTTCAGCATGGGGTCAGGTCGTGTCGTAAAACAAACTCCAAGTACGCGTTGCCTGAAGAATCGCAAAGTATATGGCCTTGTGGAGGTTTAAGATTAGCTCTTTTTTAACACGAGAATGACGTAAAGCATGAAACAGTCGACAATAATTAAAAGCCATTTATAAATCGTCTCGATGGAACAGAACGCGATTGCGATTGTCCAAAGGATGTTTTACCCCAACTGGCTGTGCTGGGCCTTCTTCACGAAGAGCTGGGGTCTCTTCTTCAGTGAGGAGCTCTACAACCTCACCGTGCTATTCTCCGCCGGTTCGTTTCCTCTTTGCTCTTTGTCTATTTTACGTCACAATTTTCTCTCTTCACATTTTTTGAGTTATAATATTTCTCCTCGTATTTTGCTTTAAAGAATCTCTCGTTCTTCATAGGTTGTCAATGTTATTTGTGATGCGAATTGAACTCGGGATTCCTCGCATGCATTAAGTATATTGCGTGCATAGGGCATGGGCATTAATAAGACCGTAATGTTGTCAGTATAAAGAACATTGTCCAAATGAGCCCTATCTTTAACCCATTAACGCCCAAATTTTTGATTTGTGAAATTTCTATCTAAACACCTTCATATGGTGTAAATATTTCATACAAAACATTTACTGCACAATTTTAGAGGATATAATGAGAGTAGCAGTAGTTTAAAGAAAAAGTCCCAAATGGGGATCATGGGCAAAAGGGTAATAAAAAAATTCCGAATATTTTTTGTCGCCGTTCTTAGTATTATTTGCAAACTTATGAAGGAGTATGTGTTATTAGTGCTTCTTTTTAATGCTAAATGCACATTCCTATGTTTGTCACCACAAAATTAATGAGATTACATGAAGAAACACTGCTCCTTTCAAACCCAATATATGAAAGTAATAATTACCCTCAAAATGAGAGTAATTTCACTGATGCCATTCAGGGAAGCTTTCAACGTGTATCCCAACGATGCCTTTTGGACATTTATTTTGCAAACGACGCAATTCCGTTGTCTTTCATCATCTGATCGCTGCAGAACATGCCCTGAATTACTTCTTCCTAAGTCGTCTATCACTCACCACTTTGATTGCTTACTGAATGATGGGCGGCCTGACTTCTTAGGATCTGACAAAGATGATACTTGCATATATACCCTTACTACTCTCCTCTTGAATTCCAGCAAGGGCATTTGTCCGTTTGCCATGAAAAACAGAATGAGTGGATTTATGACTGTCATGTCAAGAAAGTTTGTGAAAAGTGAAAAATACCATTTCTTTCCACGAACTTTGTACCTGTATTTATTGATAAGCCAATCCATTTTATCCACACCACCCATGTACTTGTTGTTATCGGCGATGCACTTTGGTTGTTCTAATCAATCTAATGAGACCTGGTCCTTCTTCTGCTTGCTCCATCTCTTCACTTCTTCAGTCGGCTCTACACCTTGGTGATTTGACAACATCTTGACATCGTTGTTGTATTTCATACAACAGCAAAGATGTTATGGCTAATGTCTTAGCTGTAGTCAATAAAGCCCCTTTATTGCTTTTTCAAGGCTTTTACTCTTTGTTCAGAAGCGAGAGGACACTTGTTGGTACGATTGAGCCTCACTCTCCCAGAAGCGGACACATTTTGTTCAGTTAGTAACTTCAATTGATCGAAACTCGTGAAAAAATTGTCAAAAAAGAATACATTATCCGATGGATTACTAGCTTTTGCAAATTTGTATAAGATAACTGATACTCCTAGTCCATTGACAGGCAATGAGTCTTCTTTCGTGCCTTCATAAAGATCAAAATCAAAACAATATCCTGTAGTTGAACAGCTTAGCACCATGTTTTTGAAACCAAACCGAAAAGGCTTCTCTTTGATGAACTGCTTCAGGAAATGGTGTCCATAATATTGAACCATTTGCTCATCAATGGTCAGATTTTTGGAAAATATACCAAATATCATGAAGAGCTGGTTTATCATTTCAATTATAGGAGCTATCTTGAACAATTTTTGGCCTAAACGAGTTCTCAATGTTGAATTGTCATTGAAATGATGGTTTTGCTTCAGCTCAAGCTACCGGTTCTGTCTGTTCAGATACATTTCCAAACCAAAAACATGTGATGAAATGATTTATTTTGCATCATTCCTTCAATTTACTTTACTAAGTGAATGATAATGTTGCTAACTTATGTTACTTTATGAAAAATTTTGGTAATACATCAGTATGTGGTAAAATACATTTTCCTTGACTTTACGATATTCTTACTGCCCATGATCCCCAAATGGGGATCGGCATAAATTACATATTTACAGCATTACTAACAGTATAATTGAGACTTATCTTAGCATTTTCAGAAGAACATAGACTATTCTACCACCTACTATGGTATTATGAATCAGAAATGCTTATAAAGGGAAAAATGTACATGTCAAAAATTGATATCTCTGTCAGATCACGATCAAGGTCACTTCTCTCAGAAAATTTCATATATTCCATTTTTCAGATAAAAGGATACACTCTTAACTGATCTCAGTTGATGTCTATAACCTATATGTATACTTTATTGAAGAAGAACATGTTCCTGATCAATAGTTCAGGAATAGTATCCACAAAATCAAACGATCCCCAATTGGGGATCATGGGCGCTAATGGGTAATTGCATAAAAAAAACTTTGCAATGGACTCCGAACTTTTCGATTGCTCCTCGGATACCCTTGAATATCGTGACTAATTTCATCATTTATTGAATACCCCGGGCTGTGCTGTTACAGCGCTGCTGTGGCAGTACCTGTCGGGTAGCGCGCGGATCACGAGCGTCTTCTGGAGCGCCTTTTGGGCGGTGGCAGTGCGCCGCTACCTCGCAGAGGGCTTGTGCACGTCCACAACTCGCCTCACGGGCCAGACGGTCGTCATAACGGGCGCCAACGTCGGCATCGGCAGGGAGACCGCGCGAGACTTGCTCAGGAGGGGTGAGATTCGTTAAATGGTCTTGCCAAGTCATTAAGTAAGATAGTCAATCGACGAATAACTTCTATTGGCAAATTATGACATGGGCGCCGGAATGCACTTCATCACTCTGCCGTTGGGTCGTCATGCGCGTATGCCTCCCCAAGCTATGGGGTTCAGATCCTGAGCCTCTCGTTTGCTTCTCCCCAGGGGCTCACGTGATCTTGGCGTGTCGCAGCCTCCCCAAAGCTGAGGAGGCGCGTCGGTCCCTGCTGGGTGAGGGAGGAAAGGTGGAGGTGCGCCTGCTGGACCTTTCCAGCCTACAGTCCGTCAGGGACTTCGCTGCTGGACTTGTCAAGGATAACATTAAAGTCCACATCCTCATCAACAACGCAGGTGCGTTGATGGCGATCTCTGTAGATATATTGAAGTACAGATCCTCATCAACAACGCAGGTGCGTTGATGGCGATCTCTGTAGATATATTGAAGTACAGATCCTCATCAACAACGCAGGTACTGTGATGGCGATCTCTTTGGTCATGACATTGAAGTGCAGATCCTCGTCAACATTGAGGTGTATGGATGGTGCATGTATTTCAGGCTTCATGTCCAATTGCGCATCCACATGCAATTGATTAGTAAACCTCAACATCCGCAGGAGTAATGATGTACTGAATGTCACAGGGGTGGTTTCGTGTCCGTACATGGAGACGCAGGAGGGCTTCGAGATGCAGATGGGCACGAACCACCTGGGCCACTTCCTGCTCACGAACCTCCTCCTGCCGCAGATGAAGCAGCACGGCGAGCCCACCCGGATCATCAACGTGTCCTCTATTGCTAGTCTCGGTGAGGTTGGTTCTTTGTAGGGTACTCATGCGAGGCCGATTGGGCTGAGCCATCAAAGTTTTCAGATTTTCTAGCAATATTTTCTTTATTTGTGACTGACATCTTGTTTTAGAAGTTCCGAATGGTAGCGTAATTAGAATTAAATTGAAAGGCTATGACTATTTAGCGGTATTGTCAAAGAATTGTGCTTGATAGAGAACTAATAGGTTGACTCGTGTAGCATGGCGCAAGAGGTGGTATTGGTATATTTATAGGCGGACATTGGGGAAAGAAGAGCCAGGAATTAAAAATTTGCGAGAGATGTGCGTGAAACATTTCGAACTGTGTTTAATCTCATTTTTTGTGTTAGTATATTCCCGTAACTTCACTATTTAATTCAAAACATTGCTATTTCCACCTCCAAAGTTGGTGTTAAAATTGTCGGGGAAATTAACGTAAGCCCGACCGTGACATACGGGATCGTCCCGTAACTTGTAGTTAGTAACAATAGTCCATTCTTCTCATTTCCGTCAGTAAATCACCAGCAAGCGTCCATATCACATGTCAAACTAATTCAAACTGTGTGTAGTCATTCATATGCCTGCCAATACTTCATTGACCGTCATGTGTAAATAAACCATTCTCAACCGTCGCCGACTTATAGAACCTTGTATAATTCCATTGTATAGCAAGACCTATTCCGTCCGCCACAAAAATTATAACAACGCCAATATCTTGGACATGTCTGCTTAACTTTCATATGCTGCTTTTCCAAGCAAGCATCTGCAATTTATGCCAACTTCAGTCGTTGTTATACAGGGTGCGGCAGAGAGGACGGACGGTTTTAAAAACGTCATAAAACTGTATATTTTTACTGAAAAACAACTTTATTGATGCAATCAGATTCACAAAGAAATAGCATTTCACACAGTCAAGTGTAAAAAATAATATCTGGCATGTGGTGGCCGAGATTGTTGATACAGTGCTGTAGGCGTTCTTGAATGTTCGCGTAGACTCCCTCCAACACCGCTTTCACAACATGCGCGACTTCCACGCGAATTGCGTCTTTTAATTCGTCCAGAGTTCGGAGCTTGTGTTCGTATACTGTAGCCTTGAGATGTCCCCATAAGAAAAAATCGCATATGGATAACTCTGGGGACCGAGGAGGCCAACGAACATCGCCAAACCTGGAAATAAGGCGACCAGGAAAGAGTGGGCGGATGACTTCATTGATGCTCTGGCTGTGTGAGCGGTCGTCCCATCCTGCTGGAACCACACACGTCGGGTTGGAACACGACGCCGTCGTAATTCAGGGACAAAGAAGTTGGTCTTCATTTCTGTTTAGCGCTCAGAGTTCACAGTAACAGCACGACCATTACCGTAATGTCTTCAAAGAAGTAAGGGCCTATGATGCACGTTTGCGATACAGCACACCAAACCGTTACTTTTGGGCTGTGCAGCGGTCTTTCGTGTAACTGTTGAGGATTCTCATTAGCGCTAAACAATAATGGAAATGCTACTGGTTAACCATTCTGTTAAGGTGGAAGTGGGCTTCGTCACTCATAAACAATGTGAGGTGTTGAGCGGTGTTGGAGAGAGTAACAATATGTGCGGTGTTGGAGAGAGTAACAATATGTGCGGTGTTGGAGAGAGTAACAATATGTGCGGTGTTGGAGAGAGTAAAGGTGCTTGTACACAGGGATAGTGCTGCCGGCTAGTAAATCTGGCTAGTGTCGGTCGCTTGGTTACTATCCGGCTAGTAAGCCTGTACACACGAGGAGAGTAGAAGGTGCCGCTATCTTCTCGTTCGCGCCCGCCAGTGCGTCGTTAGAAGCCGTCGAGTAAGGTCTGCGAAGATGGATAGTGGGATCACCTTCAACAACTCGAGTCTTTACGTCGTTTTTATACTCTATATTCTAGCCCTTAAAAATACAGCGTCGGGAACAACTGAACCCTGACTAATAAGGTCTTCTTTCCGTTTCAAATACTCGTTTCTCTCTTCATTTTGTTGGAGTAACCATCATGGCAAACATTATACTTTAATTCATATTTTTGGAATATTTTAAAGAATAATTGAATATCGTCTGGAATCCACTTTGTTGGATTCCTCTTAGAAACATTGTCGTTCAAACAAGCCATGATTCACGTGACCCAAGATACTTCACAGGAGCGGCACAGATGCTCTCACCATGGCTGCCTCAGCGGCGTCAGCGCTACTAGCCACTTCTCCAGCCAAGATATCAACACATCGTTGTCTTTCTCGGCCGCGTCTCGGGCACTTGCCGGCGCATGCATGCCTCTGAAGCGGCTGAACCCCTATACACGAGGCTAGTAGCGTGGACAGTTCAAGCGCCGGATGAACTAGCGGCTAGTACTATCCCTGTGTACAGGCACCTTAACAATATGTGCGGTGTTGGAGAGAGTAACAATAGGTGCGGTGTTGGAGAGAGTAACAATATGTGCGGTGTTGGAGAGAGTAACAATATGTGCGGTGTTGGAGAGAGTAACAATATGTGCGGTGTTGGAGGGAGTCTACGCGAACTTTCATGTGCGCCTACAGCACTGCATCAACGATTTTGGCCACCACATGCCTGATGTTATTTTCCACACTTAAGTGTCTGGGGCCATACTTTCAAAATTCGCTAAGTTAACGTAAGTACTTACGCTCTATTTTTTGTCTATGATTGGTGGATTTTGCTTGAAAGGCCGCCAATGATTGGCTGATGGACTTACGATCTCTTAACTTTTTTTGAAAGTAAGGGCCCTGAAATGCTATTTCTTTGTGAACCTAATTACATCAATAAAGTTGTTTTTCAGTAAAAATATACTGTTTTATGACGTTTTTAAAACCGTCCGTCCTCTCTGCCGCACCCTGCTAACAACAATTAAGTATTATTTAACTTGGCAAAGTTAATCCTATTGTACAGTTGAAATGCCAATGGGAAATGAGTATACTGGGATACACTAGATAATTATTGGCAACAATTCTTATGCATTGCAGACTAGATCTCCGGGATTTGCAGCATATTAACAACACAGCAGAAAGTGCCGAAGTAGCACTATCGAGACAATAGCTTAACAACGGAGCTTGACGGAGCTAAAACAATCTTCCTGCACTTAGTGATACATATAGCCTTTCTCAGGAAACACGTCATGGGTATGGCGTTGCCGATTAATCTCATATAAACTTAACTTAACCATAACAACTTAACCATAATATAAACCAGTAATCTCGGTAAAACTTGGCGTGTTTATGCAACAGGAGGTAAGATCGACTTGGATGACTTGTTCCTGAAGAAGAAGCCATACGACCCACAGCAGAGCTACAACAACAGCAAACTCGCAAACGTCCTCTTCACCAGACGCCTCGCGCACCTCCTCAGAGGTCGGGAATTTCTTCTTCAGCGGCCATTCTACGTAACCTGGACATGTTTTCAGGGTAGAATATTTTTTTTAAATTTATTCATCGTGCGTTTGCTGCCTGAAGCAACGGATGCTGTACAATATAATGGATGCTGCCATTTCCCTCCAGATGATGTACAATATCGTCGGAAACTCCTTTACCTGTTCAATATTAAGCTTCGCATTCCGTCAACATAGTTTTTTGTAGGCTATGTGGCCCATTTCTTGCTATGTGATCATTTCGTGTCATTGCGGAGATAATTAGCCGTTGCATCTGCCACCTGGGATAGGACAAAAACTTCTAACATGAAATTTCTTAAGTATAATGACAAATCTGACTGGACAGTCTGTCAAGATTTTTCTCAGATGAGTTTTATTCCATGTCTGAGATTACGCAGACTATGATTATAGCTTTTTTTACGATAACAAAGTTTGCTTATTGTGGAGGAGGTATGAACGTTTCGTCACAAATCTGTTGGGTGTTTCCCGCACGATGTTGTCACTGCCAAGCAAATGGTCTGCCGCTTGCCTTGGAAAAGATATTTCGATGTCAATGTCGTCGACCGAGTCTTGGAGCCTTCACGTGTTATTAATTATCGGATAGACGTAGCCTTACCAAAATCATCAGTGAAATGGACACAGATGAAGCTGTTGCATTGAATAGAAATACGATAGTGTCGAGAATAAAGTACAAAAAGAATTTGACACTCACGGATGAAGCTGTTTTCCTCTAGATATTGCTGTGTTTAATCAAAGGAAACAAATGTTCTGCTTCTATCTAGCAAGGTTTTAAATCAATAAGTATATGTTTAAAAACCTGTTTTGTTAGGCGATAAGCTAGATTATTTGGCAGGACGATGGCCGTGTTATGATGACGATGAGCGTATAAAATGCTTTTCTTTGCTGGTTGGCCTAAAATTCCTACAGCCGTGGCTGACTCGTGCTCTATGAATTCATGAAAATGATTATGATCTTGATGTCATCCCCCAAATTTCATTTAAATCTCATTCTCTTCTGTCTAATTTTTTAACGATCTTCACTGGTTTTGTGCAGGCACGAAGATCCAGGTGTTCGCACTACACCCCGGCTGCGTGGTCAGCTCAGGCACGCGCCACGTGCTGCGTTCGACGTTCCTTAGAGACTACGTCTTTAGTTTGATGCTCAAGACGACGCTGGAGGGCGCACAGACCACCGTCTACTGTGCTACTGAAGCCGAGCAGCACAGCGAGATGTACTTCAGGTAGTGAGGATTACATTGGATTGTACTATAATATCTCTTTACTTCTGCAGTGAAGCTCAGGCATTTGAAGTGGCATCAAACCTCTTGGATATCAAACTTAACCCCATACACATTAACCGTGTACATGATCAACTATCCTTATGACCTTATGATGAGTTCGGGACTTCCTGGTCTCCGGTCACGTCTCCGTCCTGATCTCCGTCTCCCAGTCGTCGCTAGGCAGGTCACCCCGCCCTCGGGTACCGGATGGAACGTTGGACTTGTTCCGTCTATTTGCCCCTTTGGGCTAGCTGATGCAAGATGCTGTTGCTTGTCGCTTGCTGATGGTAGTTCTCATTACTGGACAATCCGGGATCTTTCTAAACCAATTGTCCAGTCGTCTCTTGAATGTCGCAAGGGTGAACTCCCCTCCTCTCAGCGCTTTTGGCAGGGCATTGAAGAGCCTCGGTCCTACAACGGACAGTGATCCCTCACGGAGAGTCTGTATACAGGCCGCAGCTTGGTTATTAAATGGGGGAACCTTGCACAGTCTCTCCCTCCTTTCGTTGTAACTAGGCACTATTCTGGAGGTATCACTCTCAAAATTGGGAGCCAGTCCGGTTATCATTTTCCAAGTGTACATTCAGTATGATATACCTTTCTCTTCTCCTCCCCAGTGAGCACAGTCCCAGGTGTTGCAGCCTTCCCCAGTAGTTCAGGTTCAGCTCCCTCATGCCGCTGATCCTGTAAGTGGAGGCCCGCTGCGCTGCCTCTAATTTCCGCACCGCACCCGCCTTGAGTGGCGACTAAAGCTTGCAGCAATACTCAAGATTGGGGAGCACGAGGGCTCTGAAGAGTGTAATCATTGGTGCTGCATCTCTCGTTCAAAATGTCCGCCATAACCACCCCATCCGTTGCCGGCTGCGCGCGACTATTTCCTCGATATGGGAATCGAACGTGGCTTCAGTACTCTTCAACACTCCTAGATCTCGAACTAGTTGCTTCTCAATTTCTGTGCCATCTGATGCCAAGTAGCGATGTGGCATCCCGATCTCTGTGCGGACTCTGTATCTCATTACTTCGAACTTAGTGCCGTTGAACTGCATATTGTTCACTAGGGCTCAATCGTAGACTGACGATAGGTCCTCCTGTAACCTCTCGCAGTCTAGGTCGTCTGTGATCTTCATCAGCACTCGTGTTTCGTCCGCAAATGAGGATGTAGATGCGCGTGTGAGTTCAGAGTCAATATCTGAAATGTGGACGAGGAAGAGGATCGGTCCAAGCACTGAGCCTGCGGAACTCCGCTTTTCACCCTCGCTTCTCTCGATTTCGAGTTTTCAATTGCGACATCCCTGCCGCTCCAACAGAGCGACGGGTTCTTTTGTCGTCCGCGTGGCATTTTACATCGTGTAAAGATAAGCCAAGGTCCATGAAATAAGAGGGACTTCTCCTATAGGACATCACTTTATTTTTCTATAAAGTTGGGTATTTCTTGGTATTGATTCACTCAAAACTCTTAGAAACCTTGGAGTTGGCGGAATAACATTTTTTAAGGAAGTTTGTTGCTCGCGTGTTAACTAAATTCGTTACTGGATGATATCACTAAAGAATTCTTTTAATATTAAAATTGAAATATCTTCTGTTACGGCTAGCCTATGAAATTAGTTTTTTATCAGAATCGTTTCAATGAAGCGAAATGTTATTCATTAGTTAATGCTTGGCGTAAAATTTCATGCACTGTTTGGAACAGGCTATTAAATTAAAAGTAAGACTTGATCAGTCTTTTTATTAGAGAAGATGATTATAATCGGTGATCCTGAGAATAATTCATTTTACTATTTGACGTTCGCCAACAAGCAAACGCAAACCTTTGTCCAACCAATCAAGATATTTTCCTAATATATGGTTGAATATTTCCTATGAGATGTCATAAAGAACAGTATTTTATAGCTGTAATTTTCTTACAAATTCGACTCGTTTGGTTACAACAGCGACTGCGCCGTGGGCTGGGCGCCGGACGCCTCCAAGGACGAGCGACTGGCCGAGGACTTGTGGAAGCTGTCAGCCCAGCTCGTCAAGCTGGACGAGTGACTTGCAGGGAGGAGACTGGACGAGTGACGTGCAGGGAGGAGATGAGGAGCTGGACGAGTGACGTGCAGGGAGGAGACGAGGAGACTGGACGAGTGACTTGATAAGTAAAGGAACGACGTCTTGCTTGCCAAGTGACCGACAATATCCCTAGATTGTTTATGAACGTCTGTGCTCTTTTAATAACTTGTTTCTGGAGCATGCCGATTGCTAACGTTAATCCACCGACGAATGTAGCTCGCCTTCGCGATTGAGTCAAACGTCGCTGTTGATTTTACACTGCAGGCGATTAAGTCGAATACTGTATTTTAGATATGAATTAATTTTTTTTCACAAGGAAGTTTGAATTGATTTGTACATTCTGAATAAATGCATGAAAAATTAGTAAAAATTCTTGTCCTTAGTTTATTGAAACTGTGTGTCTGCGAAATACCACCGGCTTTTCAAACTCAAACCATAACGACATCACACATTTCGCTCATTACAACAATTGACAATTTAGTTAGCAATGCCGTTTGGCATTGACTGTTTGACATAGTGAGCAAAACAATGTCGCTAGAATTCATTTCTGTTTACAATTATCATGCGGATTATGTCATTACGATTAACAGAAGCGTTTTCACTAGGCATGTGGAAACGGAATCCATCGAGTGGTGACTGGTGAACAGCTCGCGGTAGAGTAGGAGCTTTCTGTTTGGGAACTGCTGTCACACAGTGCGACCAACACTGCGCATCTTGGAAATCAAGTAAGCCACGCAGGAAAAGTGAAAAATTTGAGCGAAATTGTGTTGAGATCCTGAGCTTACCATTTAACATTACACTCGGGATAGGCTTAGATAGCGTTGTTAGCAATGATAAAACGAAGACGACTTCTGTTGCAGTGTTGCTGTTCATTTAGTATCCCTCTGAACGTTCCTAGGTTAGGTTGCGTGACAAGCAGCTCTACATCTCGTCAGTCGGAGGTAAAAAGTTGCAGTTGTCCTGCTAAGTAGTGTGTGTAGCATCAGCTGAGCTTGGTTTTAACAGGTAACTAATATAAAAAATGACACTAATATGTTACAATAAAATAATATGTTGCAATGACAGGGAGAACTGAATGTTTGAACGAGAGAGCATGCGCCGGCGAGTTCATTCTTGTCAGCCTCACGATTTAACGACTGTAAGTCGAGTACGGTGCTAGGTAACTAAGAATATCGGTTCTTAAATAAAAAGAACAAACCATGACCTCTTATTTTGGCATACGGATGGCCGGCAGGAAGAAGGATGGTGAACGGTGACGGACGTGTGAGTTGTGACTCGGTGAATTCCGTCGTGAACGATAGTGAGTTAGGAATACATTTTTGAAACGATGGATTTTGAAAAGTTAGAGATCCAGACTCGCTTCTTCGTGCAGGGAGAAGCACCCACCCTGCAAGTCAGTTCTTGACGTCAACGCTAAAGACGCTTTCCACCGCCACCATGTCCAAGCTGGTGGGTGCGTATACGTCAGACATGTAGTAAGCTTACTAGGATACATAAGCTCGAACTTTTCTAATGCCAAATCCAAATTAGTATAAATAATTCGCTGAAATTAATAGATGAACATCTTTCAAGAAATACTCCGTCACAGTTGAAAGATCGGTCATGAATTGTCTCACTGGAACAGACGAGGGCGATCGCAATCTTCTCGAGGTCCTTGCACCCCAACTGGCTGTGCTGGGCCTTCTTCACGGAGGGCTGGGGTCTCTTCTTCAGTGAGGAGCTCTACAACCTCAGCGTGCTCTTCTCCGCTGGTTCGTCTCCTTGAACTCTTTTCCCTAGTCACCTCTTTTTATTCAAGTCCCTTCTCTACTTCATTATTACTTCACCGCAGTTTCTCTACTTATTTTTCGTGTTGTAATTTTTAGCGCATTTTCTCCTTTATGGAAAAAGGCAAGCTGTGCTCGTCATGTCCGTCCGTCTGTCTGTCCGTCCGTGACTTCACGTTTTCGTCGACGAGAAAATGCGCTCTCTGTCACTCACTGCAGTGAGTACTGAGTTATATTTTTTCACCTTGTGGTTGGTGTAGCTTCCCCATTGGTCACGGTAGGGACTCTTCTTAACTAATACAAGTTTCTATGTTAGCGCGAGCTCTCGTGTATATCAAGTGCAGTGTACCTTCGACGAGCGAGGTTCCGGTGTTATTGCTCGAATTGCTTAAGGTTGTGTCCCGTGATTATAGTTGAGCTTCATCCACATTTTATCTAGTGCTCCGCTACTCATGGTGCTTCTTGACAATATATGAAAGGATAATTCCAATTCACACAAATACGGTGGCGGTGTAGAAAATATATTTTTTACTGTTGTATTATTAGATTCTACATCCAGTGCGTCTCAACTCATGGTACTTTATTTACTCTACATTCATGAACGGTTTTTGCCTATTCACACATATACGGTACGATGACAGAGAAGATTTTTTTTTATATTACACTAATGCGCACAGGTGTTGTCTTTACAAACTTGCGTTGCAACATAAAATGTTTTTTATTATATCTTGGTGTCAAGTGCTGATGCTCAAGACCAAGATTATGATTACTGAATGAGAAGAATCATGAGATTGTGCCGGCCAGCGCTGCCGCCTTGATAAGCCTCGAGGTCAGCCATGATGCCGGGTCAAATGACGAAGGACCTTTTGCTACTATTAACTACATCACCTTGATTTCATTTAAAATGTTATCGCTGAATAGTTCTTAATAAGTCGCAAGATTCTCAATCTTATAATGCAATGAACGGTGGAAATTTCTTTTTCGTCTAACGACCCGACAAAGATAAAACTTCGAACCTGAAAACAATGCTGCTGCTACAATGACCGCAACCTATTTAGCATGTCATGCTATAGTTACACCACTGTCGCGTGTCGCGGAAGTTTCATACGTACATCAGATATCGCTAATATCAATCATTCATGAATCGGGGAATTTGTGATAAAAATGAAATATTTAATTTTTGATTCGTGAAGAATTTAGATGATCTCTGAAGAAATTCTCTGATAACAGACTTGACGATTAACAGACTTATCTTGCTTATGACATATAAGACTTCTCAATGGGATTCGAATTGTTTGATTGCCCTTCGTAAAAGTTTGAATGTAATGGCTAATGTTATCAGTTATCGGATACCCTGGGCTGTGCTGTTGCAGCGCTACTGTGGCAGTACCTGGTGGGGGGCGTGTCGGTGACGGGTGTCTTATGGAGCGCCCTTTGGGTGGTGGCAGTGCGCCGCTACCTCGCAGGGGGCTT